CGACCTAAGTAGCCCCAAATTTTCCCCAAACATCCATATCGGATTTTAATCCATTTTCTAGAGTTCCTTCCCATTTCTCCTCCCCACTCTATTGTCCCTCTTACATGGCGATTTTGTTGATTTCTGGAGAAAATGGAGAGTGGATCGTAAGGATTAAAGATTTGTGAAAGGAGATGCAAAGTTTTGAGGAGGTAAGCTTCTTTTGGGTATTTTGAGCTATATGTTTGGGATTTTTGGTGGATTTGAAGTTTGTGTAAAAATTTGGTGTCTCTTGGTTAGAATATTGTTCTTGAAGTGTTCTTCGGGAGCTTAGCTTGTTGAACTCAAATCTTCATTTTGGAAACTAAATATTTGGGTTTAAAATCTAGGTTTAACTTAACCTAGCAAGGTGAGTTCAAGTTGTTTTGTGAAAACTTTGTACACAACAAAGATGTTAATTTTGAAGTCTTAAAGTAGTTTCCTTGATATTTATTAAATGCTGTTTAGTATTTTGGTGAACTTGCTTCTTTAGTACATTTGATTTTATAAATCTTGAGAAATGTTTGTTTATATTTAAGGATTTTGGACATTCGGATAAATAAATCATAAAATGTGATATTTTGATGATCTGTTATATATGTAATGAAGATTATTCGACATAAATGCACTTTTAGTCAATTTGGTTTTTATAATCCGTTTGGGAATTACATATTATGGAGTTGTAAGATATTTTGGAAGTATAAATTATATGGTTTTCATTTGGAGATGATTGATCCCATCAATTGTGAATTTTTGACCAAATTATATTTTGGAGCACCAATTTGTGTCAACATTGGGTAAATGTGTATATTGACTTATGTTGACTTTTATTGTGTAGTCAAATGATGTGTAGAGTTTATTAAGTTGATTTTGACTCGCGTGAGTTATGGGGACATTTGTCAAGTTTTAAATTTCTCAAAGTTGAGTTTCAGACGTTATTTGTTTTGCATATTTATTTGGGAATTACATGTTTTGAGTGCGTTGGTCATTCATTTAGAGTCATATAATTTAGACATAATACATTGGATTCATAGGCATAAGAGTCAATTGTGTTTGGTAAGTGGAGGATTGTGATGTTCCTACTTTGAGGCTAATGGTTGAGTAGGCATTATGGCCATCGCGGTATTATAGAGGTGAACTCAAATGAGTCGGACTTTGGGACCCTTGCTTTGAGGCTTTGGCCTAGTCGAGTAGACACTAAGGACTTAAGCCTTGAGATGCTACCTAAATAGGTAGGCACTAAGGTCATAAGCATTGATGTGAAACTCTAAAGAGTAGGCACTAATATTATTGAGTCTTGAGGTGCTACCCGAAGTGGTAGGCACCTAAGAACCATGGGCCTTGAGGTGCTACTTGATGGGGTAGGCATTAGGGCCATGAGCCTTGAGGTGAAACTCGAGTGAGTAGGCACTAATTTCAATTGAATCTTGAGATGCTACTTGCTAACGTTGATGTATGCCTTACTTTCTGTTCACCATATTTGATGGATACGGGTCTCCCCGGTCATCGAAAGATATTGTTTTAGATAATGTATTATCCATGTTTTTGGTGTTGTTTTGGGGTATGGAGTGCACCCATAATTTATGGTTTTCCTTATCCATGTTTTTGTATTTTGGATTATAAAGTTTTATCCATATTTTTAGTATTTGGATATTATGATCTATTCATGTTTTGAGTGAGTATTGGGTTTTGGTTTTCTATCTAAATAACTGTTTTAATTTAATGAGTTTTCATCACGAAAATGGTGGATTTTGGGAAAGATGTTGATTTTATATTAAATAAATTTCTTTTTGGAAAATTTTGATTTGAATAACATCATTTCAGTTTTATCGTTTTATATTAAAAATGAAAACTGATTGAATTAACTAGGTGTTCAGCCTAACATTTTTCTTGTCGGCATGTGCATTGGGTTCTTGCTGGGAATCATACGAGCGATACAATGAAGTTTTGATTGCTAGTCAGAGGCACGAGCAGGATTTGACTATTTGGGGACGTCTTCCGTACCTTGGAGATATCGACAATTAATGAGTTTTAGTAACACCCGTCCCTAATCTAGACATTGTCTAAGGTTTGGATTATTACTTAATGATAAATCCGAGAATGCCATTATAGGTATTTAAATGTTGACATTTAGAAAGAAATTTATTCATTACTTGATGTTTTATCAATAATTTAAATTAGTCTCTCTTTCTAGATTTGAGGGTATTATATGTCCCTTATGTGCCTCTCACATGAAGGGTATTTTTGTCATTTCAACAATTCTTATGATTATTTTCTATATACATATTTTAATGGATTGTGTACAAGTATGTAAAGCTAAAGAGAAAAAAAATAAGCATAACTCTAAATCATCCCTAATTAACATTCCTTTCTTGTTCTTAGGCATACCTCCTTTCTCCAGTGATGACCAACAACAACGATCATTTTCTCCAGCCACCCTCCGCTTACCAAAAACACAGAGGTCTCTCTCACACACAACATAAATCAACTCCCAAACCTATTTTTGAAGGATAAAATGAACAAGAAAAGTCATTTTTGAATAATAAAAGCAACAACCCAAACCCATTTTTCGAAGAACAAATCAACAACAAAACCAATTTTTTACCTCCGTTAATGCGGATCTCAGTTTTTCATCATTAATTTTCCATTTTTCTCCACCCAAACGAAGAGCAATAATTAAATCAAGAACAAAAGAATATCAAATTCATCGACAAGAACAAGAAAGTTGCCACGAACTCATCAAGTTCGAACACAAGATCAAGAATCTTAAATCTACATCAAAAGCTCTAAAATTCATTCCATATAAAAAATACATAACCAAAACCTTAAAATACAAACCCTAATCAAAACCTAAAAAATTAACATAAAAGAAAATGGAGCTAATGTAGAATCTTTAATTTTCCTAAATTTCAAATGTTTTCTTTGATTTTCTCAACCCAAGTATTCCACCGGCAAAAAAGAAGGGTTTGACACCCTTCATTTTCATATTTTCTAGAGACAGTTGAGTCTATATCTGGTTAGAAAAATTCTATCAATGTTCATCATTTTCATATTTGTTGCATACACACATATACACACCAGATCTGGTGTTTTTGGATCTGGGTTCAATGAAGATATGATGTTCTCATTGATTCAATGAAGATATGGTGTTTTCAAATTTGGGTTCAATGGAGATATGGGTTTTGAAACTAGGTTCGAAGGAGATTTAGTATTTTTAGATTTGCGTTCAATGGAGATTTAGTGTTTTAGATTTGGTTCGATGGAGATCTAGTGTTTCAAATATGAATTCGATAGAGATCTGGGGATTTTAGATCTGTGTTCAATGGAGATAGAGTCTCAACAGTGGTGGCCATTGGCTTCGATGGAGATGAAGTCTCACAGTAATGGTCATTGGCTTCAATGTAGATGAAGTCTCACAATGGTGGCCATGGTTGTTTGAGTTTTCTAGTGATCGATAGTGTAGGTGTGATAACCGGTTCTTCGGTTATAAAGATCGGAGTTGTTTTTAAATATGTTGGTGAATTGAGGGGTTTTAATTAGTTATATGCTTAAATCCTTTTAAAATTAACCACCGCCTCTTATTATCATTAACATTATTATGAGATAACCAAGTTATCTCATTAGGATGATGGATGAGATTTAAGAAAATTCAAAAAGGAAGTTCTTTGTGTGTGTTCTTTGGTACAATTCAAACAAAAACCATAAGGAAAGGAAGAAGTTGATTTTGTGATTTCTACGTGGAAAATTGTTGCTATTCATCTTCATATCTTCATCTCTTGTGATTAAGGTGAGTTTATTTTTATAACTTTCCTTATTTGAAACTGGATGTAGATCTATATGGTTCTTTATATGAGTTCCTAGTTATAAAATTGTTTTGATGCCATAATTAGCACAATTGTGGGTTTTTGTTATAATTATATCATTGTTGGAATAAGGGTGATATATCAAGGAGAGGTGTATTTTGGTTATAATGGTGACATATCAAGGAGATGTGTATATTGGGATAAGGGTGACATATCAAGGAGAGGTGTATACCATGATAAGGGTGACAAAATCATGAGTTATAAAATATGGGTTTTGATCAAACATTCATTGTTATCGCATCATAACTTGAAGTTGTCGCATCTGTATGATGCAATGACTTGAAGTTGTTGCATTCTATTGATGCGATGAAATGTGGTTATCGCACCTATATGATGCGAGAGTAAGTTTATCACATCCTTGTGATGCGACAAAATTGACTTATCACACCTGTGTGATGCGACAAGTTGGGTTTATTGCTCCAGTGTGATGGGACAAGTTGGGTTTATCGCACCAGTGTGATGCGATGAGATAAGGTTCTCGCATCAGTGTTGTGAGGAGATGGGTTATCTCACTCATGTGCTGTGATAAATTTATATAATCTTCTATATGATGAGACAAGTTTACTCAAAATATGTTTATCAAGTTATTTGGATATTTGGATGCAATAAATGGGGTTTGTTATAGCAAAACGATGTATATTTGTTATTTTTACAAATATGATTTCATAAATGTGATTTGGTGATTATTCACCCTATAATTGTATCAAAGAGATTTCTCACTAGACCCCAAGGTCTAACCCTCATTTTGTGTTTTAGAAATATGCATTACAGGTCAGACACTAGCAGAAGACAAGAGGAAGGGGAAATTGTGAAGTATAATATGTTTGCATGAGTTATGGGGATAGCATAATCTTCTTTTGTGTTTGAATACTTGTTATGTATTCATGTGTGGTATAGAGTTGTTCTGAAAAAGTTGTTAGCTATTTTGTAATATAGCTTTTGTAATATATTGGGACCGCATGCGTAGATTATATTTCTTGATATATGGATCTATATATTTATATACAAATGTGATTTTCGGGTGTTACAGTAGGGATGAATGAATATGAATGGTGAGAGGGATGTTGTGGTGGATGAAATTGAGGGAGGAGGGAGGGCTCTAGAGAAACACCGAAGAAAATGGAGGTTTTGAGAATGCCTGATGAACTGATTGTCATTGGTCATAGTTCTTTTTCCCCTTCTTTTAATGCTTCAAAAGACTTGTATAAATTAGGGGTGTTTATCCAAACTGCCAAACAATACAAACTGTCCACCGCACTGCAAAGCGTGGTTCAAAGTATTTGCAGTGTGGTTTGCGGTTTGCATTTTTACCAAACTGCACTATATAGTGCAGTTTGCGGTTTGCATTTTTACCAAACCGCACTATGCGGTGCGGTTTTGAGTTCAAACCGCGGTTCAAACTGCATCGTAACACATATTTTATACATTTTTTAATTGTATATAACCCACACACACACATACACACATGTATATGTAGAATAATTTATTATTTATGTAATATTTTGGGAAAATTGCACCAAAATGGAACCAACTTTCACATGATTCCTATTTTGGGGAACGAACTTTCAAAATCGTCATTTTGGGGAACCAACTTTTACCTGATTCTTATTTTGGGGAACCAACTTTCAAAATCGTCATTTTGGGGAACCAACTTGAAAAATAATTATAGAAAAATGGGAAAATTACACCAAAATGGAACCAACTTTCACCTGATTCCTATTTTGGGGAACCAACTTTTAAAATCGTCATTTAGGGGTCTCTATCGAACTTTTTGTTTATTTAAGGGTCTGATTGATCTGTTGAACAAGTAACAGATAATTTAAGGGTCTCTATCAAACTTTTGGTTGGATTTGCCAAATTTGATTTAAACTTTAATATTGACACAGATTGGTTAGATATAAAAATCTTGAATGTGATATTTAATATTTATTTTTTATTGCATCAATTAATTTTTTTATTAAATTGATTTTTTTATTGCATTAGAAAAAAACAATTTTTATCGTGGTAATTTGGATTTTTTTCGAAAAATCTTCAATTTGATATCTGAATTTAAAAAAACGAGATTTGAAATGAAAAATATATTTTATTGCATTAATTTTTGAAAAGAAATGAATTTTAGTTATTTTTCTATAATTATTTTGCAAGTTGGTTTCCCAAAATAGAAATCAAATGCAAGTTGGTTCCCCAAAATGACGATTTTGAAAGTTGGTTCCCCAAAATAGGAATCAGGTCCAAGTTGGTTCCCCAAAATGACGATTTTGAAAGTTGGTTCCCCAAAATAAGAATCAGGTAAAAGTTGGTTCCCCAAAATAAAAATCAAGTGAAAGTTGGTTCCCCAAAATGACGATTTTGAAAGTTGGTTCCCCAAAATAGGAATCAGGTCCAAGTTGGTTCCCCAAAATGACGATTTTGAAAGTTGGTTCCCCAAAATAGAAATCAAGTGAAAGTTGGTTCCATTTTGGTGCAATTTTTCCTAATATTTTTGGACTTTGTGTTTTGGACTTTGAGTTTGATCAAGTAATTGGCAATATTAATAGATTAGTTGGACACATAACTCATACACCCAATCTAGTTTGAAGTTTATCTTTTTTACTTCTTAAACTATTTTTAATCATGCAATATGTATTTAGGAATCATATATATTGAAACTCTTTATTTTTTTGGACTACAGTCACTTTATCGTCAATTTTATAATGTATTTTTAAACTTATAATGATTTTATTGTAGGCATAAAGTGTGATAGGTACAAACCGCACTGCGGTTTGAAGTTTATGCGGTGCGACTTACGGTTTGAAAAAAATGTTTCAACGACATATGCGGTGCAATTTAGCCTCAAACCATACCAAATCGTACAGTGAATACCCCAAGTATAAATTACATACAAAGTTGTACAGAAGAAATAATTATCAAATAAAATGGTAAAATAACAAAAATAGCCCATCATGTGAAGGGCACATGGATGATTTAACGGAGTTAGGTCAAGAGGTCCAATTCGTAACAAAAACGAAACCATGTTAGCAATTCTTGTAATTATTTGGTATCCGTAATTTGTATAAAACCACAGGGACCATATTTGTAATTTGCTTAGTTTTTTTGATAAAATAAAGAGAAAAAAACACGGAAGAGGTTGCTTCAAGTGTCGTTATAAAAGATTTGTGGTCAAAATGGCGGTCAAACAAGAAATAGAAATAGAAATGGATGGATATGGAGATTATCGTCTGTCAGTCTAATTGTATTGAAGTTCAACAAAACACCATGATGGCCCATGTGACACCAATTGCCTTTTGCTCTTTCTCTCTCTAATCCCAACTCCAAGATGCCCGCCATTTTCTCCGTAATCACACTCTAATCGATTCCCTATAACCACGATTCAAGCTGTAATTTGCTATCATTAACAATGCAGGACCTGATATTTGAAGATCGGAGAACCAGCACCCACTCCAGATCGAGCTATGGTGGAGGTGGTGTTGGTGTTGGTGGTCGAGATGCTAGCCCAGACTCTGTAAGATTCTCCAATTTCAGTCTCTTCTCTTCTTCTGCTTCAGCTAGCGTTATTCCTTTTCTTCCGCGTCGGATGTTCTTGATCGCGATTCTAGCGTATCCGAAATGTCTCTGGTAATCATCAAATTTCATAAGTTGCTGATAATAATAAATGTGTCATTGTAATGTACATGTTGTTTGATTTGGTTTGATGTTCGGCGTCGAGTTTTTTGGTTCAGTATGGTTTGTGTTTCTTCTTGGATCAGCAAATCTAGGGATGGTTCTATTTCAAATTCGTCTGCTTCGAAGCTTTTAAAATGTCTTTTGGTTTATGGAACAGCATTTGTCGGGACGTGGTTTCCGTGATTCCTTCTCCTCGAGGGGTCCAGATCCAGATCCAAACAATAATTCCACAGTGCTTAGGAGCGGAGGTCAGCACCCAATAAGCAAAAAAGTGGAAAAAGCAAAAGGTGTTATACGATAGACCTTACCAGACCCTGTCATTAATCATTTAGTTTTGGAGGTTTTACTATATGAAAATGCAAATCATTGTGGCGATTTTTCTTTTCCATTGCATATGCAGCTATAATAGAATATACTGATGCAGAAACAGATGGGGAGAATAATCAAACCCTAGACTCAGCAAGAAGCTCCTTCTCTCAAGCTCTAAAAGGTATTATCATAATATATTGCGGAAATGTGCGTTTGTTTTTATGATGACTTTTAAGCTGTCATTAGTTGCTACTTGGTGAATTAGTTAAAATTCGGGCTGTCAGCCATATGGGTGTAGATTAGAATCTGATGCACAGCATGCTAACAACTAATTTGTATTGATTCTTTCATATCTAAATCAATCATGCTATTCTATAGAATGCCAGAACCGGAAGTCAAGATCTGAAATTCTGTTAAGGAAGTCTGACAGGAGCAGACCTACTTCTTTGGATCTGAACAATCAAGCTATAAATGTCACTAGTTCTTCTCCGAGACTTGCTATGAGAAACTCTATATCAAACCGACGAACTAGTATGTTCCCAAGTCCAGTAACGCCAAATTATCGTCCTGCAAGCAACGGGTTTCAGAAAGGTTGGAGTTCAGAACACGTGCCTTCACATATAAATACTAACAGGAGGCAAGTGAGTTCTGCATTGATGTCTTATAACAGTGGAAGGACATTGCCTTCCAAATGGGAAGATGCCGAGAGGTGGATATGCAGTCCAGTTGCAGGAGATGGTGCTTTGAAGCCTTCGGTTCAACAGCGGCAAAGGCGACCCAAGTCAAAAAGTGGCCCGCTTGGGCCTCCTGGATCTGCATACTACTCCATGTATTCCCCAGCAGTGCATATGTTTGATGGAGGAAATGTTGGAAGTTTAGTTACTGGATCACCATTTTCAAGTAGAGTAAATGCTGGTGATGGTTTGTCAATTCGATATCATGAGCGGCAAGACAGCAGTGGGAACTTTCCTTCATTGACTGAGCCTTGTATGGCAAGGTCAGTCAGTGTACATGGTTGCTCTGAATCGTTGAGTCAGTCATTGTTGCGTATAACTCAAGGTCTGTTAGTAACCTCTCTTTATGCTTTATTAGATATTTAAGAAAGACTCTAATGTAGATTTACATTTCTTAATTCTAGTTTTTACAAATTTTGTAGATTTCGTTTGTGATAAAATACTTGTTTGCTATTATGGTACATCTTTTGTGTTTGCATTTTGGCAAACCACACCCAAGCCAGTGAACTTTTTTGCTGCTTGTCCATTGACGCATCCCTGGTAATACACTTGGGCATATACCCTTGGCTGGGTTTGTAACTAATGTTTTTTGAGTTATAATGTGGAAATCCCTATCAATTGGTCATCTTTTAGGTATGCATTACCCGCTTGCATTCCTTCAGAGTTTTTCTGCTAGTATGTTTTGTAATTTCTAATGTCTTATTTAAACCTGAAGAAGAGACCCCATGTGTCAGAAGACCATACGAATATTAGGAATGGACAATGCATTACTTCATTTATGATTTCATCATTGATCTCACATAAGGTTTAGCTAGGGAGCTTGGCAGTTCAGTCTTTTGTAGAAGCTGGATTACATTTTAAGTTCTCTATTTTGGTTGAAATAATCATCACCAGGAAATAATGTTACAAGATATTCAAGGGTAAGAGTTGGGAGAGAAACATATGTCATCAGACTGCCAGAATACATGTGAGGGTAGGAGTTGCAGCGGATCTTACTATGAGAGAGATATGTGTATCTTTGTTTGTAAAAAAGAGTGATCACCTAAAAGAAGAAAAAAGGCAATAAAGATCCTTCCATTGAAATCTCAATCCTCCTAACCTTTTCAATCTCCTAGTGAGGCAGGATGTATTCCAGTTCTCCAAGGGTTCTCCAAACTATGAAGCTTTGCATTGATATCAAAGAAAATGAAAGAAAGTAGCTCGTATGTGGCAGTGAATGTTCTATGGATTATTGAATGCTGTATAAGCTTATTTTTTGGATCAATATCATTAGAGTCTGGATAGTCTCCTAATTTAGATCATTTGATGGAAAGAGAGCAACTAGAAGGCAGATAACTACAGGGTACAATACTGAAAAACCAGTCACTAGAAGGACTCACAAATAGGTGAGTGGACATGATATTTACTTCACTTGAGAATTGACCACATTCCTTTTCAGTTTTTTTTGTTGCTATCTCAGGCATGCCTGATTCCATGTGTAACATTTTCTAACATACTGGTGTTTATAAAAGGAAAAGAATCTAGTTTAGCATTGGGGTTTTAACTATGACTTGTTTAATTGTTGTACAGATGGTAAAATTGGTTGTGTTATGGATGCTGCTACAAACATCTCTCGTGATGTTTCTCGGAGAGATATGGCAACCCAAATGAGCCCTGAGGGTAGTCCCTACTCATCTCCTAGGAGGAGGAACTCTATCTCCCTGCCAAGTTCTATACTAGCTGTTGCAGAATTGCAGCAGACCCATTCCTCTAAAGCAGATGTCAGGGATGTACAGGTAGATGATCAGGTCAGTTTGTCAAGATGGTCTAAGAAAAGTAGAGCTAGAATTCCAGGTAGGAGGTCTGGGTCAGAACTGGTGGATGACTGGAAAAGAAAAGCTCTGGAGGTTCGATCTGCAGAGTGGGAAGTTTCAGAGATGACAAAGAGCCTTTCAATGTATGTATGCTTTACAAATTTCCTTTTTCTTTTGGAACCTTTCAAGTATGTTGTGTATACATTTTTATTTGAACACCAACGGATGCATTAAAATAAAATTAAATGACTTGGATGAAAAATGGTAGGTAGTCTCTCCTAATTATGATATAGTATTAAACATGAATCACAAAAATGTTCAAGAGTTGATAGAATCATATCACTCTACACCATCATGATTTAAGGATTAAAACCTTGAAGCCTTTATTATATATATATATATATATATATATCTCTTACTGCATTCTACTAATTCTTTTGTTTGTTTCTTTTTCCAGGGTTAAACGGGAGGAAGCTAAAATTACTGCTTGGGAGAACCTGCAGAAGGCAAAAGCAGAAGCAGCTATAAGGAAACTTGAGGTTCAATTTTTACCACTTCTATTTCATATGCTATAGTATTTGAAGACATATAATTTAGCATGCAGAAAGAGAGGACTTGAACTCTGCAACACTTAGTTTTTTGATGGTAAAATCTAATAATCTTATTTGCATTAAATGTGGCTCAGATGAAATTGGAAAAGAAGAGATCATCCTCCATGGATAAGATCATGAACAAACTACGATCAGCTCAGAAAAAGGCGCAAGAAATGAGAGGGTCGGTTTTATCAAACCAGTCTCATCAAGTTCCTAGATCATCTTCTTCTTCACACAAGGCCATCTCGATCATCAGGACTCCACAGATAGGCTCTTTAAGTGGCTGCTTTACCTGCCATGCATTTTGACAAGCTATTTGTGGTCATAAAAATAGGTAATTTTCTTTGCTGTCTACCAATGTACTTAAATCTTTGTTTGTGAATGCCTGATATCATTCATTTCTAAAATAAATATTATTTGGAATTTTTGCTTATTTGTGGTTCTTGAAGTATCAACCACACCCATTGATATTTCCTACAAACAAGTGAAACTGGATTTTCATTTGGAATTTATGCTTATTTGTCATTAATTGTTTTCAACCCAATGGTCCTAAATCACTTTTGCAAAGTGGTTAATCCACTTCATATAACTGTGTGTTGGATATTTGAAAAACAAAATGGTACTAAGAGAGAACAAATGAGAACCATAAGGAGGTTGAGAACCGGTAGAACCACCATTCATGTGTTGTTTCACAATGTGAAACAACAAATACACATGAAAATAATAACATTGTGAAACAACATTTTACTTTAACATGCATTGTTTCGCGAACACATAAAAATTGGTTTTTACGGTTCTCAACCTTTTTGTGTTTTTAATTTGATTAATCCCCTTCTATTATTTACATAAACCATCTTTGAACTATTTAAGTAAGATGATCCTCAACTTTCATTTATTGGCACAACATCCTTGACATTGGATTTTTCATATGGTGCTTGATTCCATTCTTGACAATTTGCATATCATAATTGATGCAACATATAAGAACGTAAATTATAGATCACCATATTGATTTTGTGAATACCTGTGGATAACCTCCTCTAGGATTCGTTGATTCGATGAATACCGAATCCTAGGCTTCAAAAATCCAATTCACAAGAACTCAAAATATGGAAAGGGAAAATCCAAGTCTCTAAAATTCAAGTGTGACCATCCAGTACTAAAAAAAAAACATATAAATAGAAGGCCCAAAACAAAAACAGGTTTGAAAACGATTATGGGCCAAACACAAAAAGCCCAACCAAATGGCCAAAAATAAGTAAAAAACATTTAAATGTCTAAAAACCATGCTTAAACAACATTTTAGAGGTTCAAAAGTCCATTAGACCCCTTCAGGATGTAACCATGCTGTGCTCCTCGCTCCAGGCATCGAATCGACTGGTCGTGAGCCTGAAATGGACACCCGGAGTGAGAGTTATGACCTTTTAAGCACCCTGCTGTTTGGTAGCCCGATCATGGGCCTCTAAGAATATTAAGGCCCCGTCCTCCATGCCAAAGCCACTGGGATTTTTAGGGTAGTTTTATCTCTGATTGCTGGGAGATTTGGCTTGCTAGAAATACATCTGTTCATGATTCAGTTGCTATGTCTTCTTCATCTATTATCAATAAAGTCATCAATAATACTCCCAACAAGCTGATTTACTAGGTCGGTTTGGTTTGATTTCATTACATATTTTCTTTCTCTGAGCCCATGAGAATTGCCTAAGTAAAGACAGTAGGTGCACAATTCTAGAATTCAGGGATCCCCGACTAATATCACGATATGCAAGTACAATAAGATCATGAAGTAGAATATCACCTTTTAAAAGAGGTCGCATTTGTATCTAACAATGCATCAATAGGATTGATGTAACCCAAAATCCCATGTTTTTAGTTAAGAGATCATGTAGTATGTTAGGTGATTGGAATACACCATGTTGAGAATGTGCAACTTCAATCCCTTGCATCGAAAGCTCTCTGTCATTAGGTGTGACAACAATGTCATATGCATTTGAGATTGTACAACTTCACGCCAAGAGTTTGGTAGACACACCATTTAACCAAGAACAAAAGATGGGTCCAAACATCATTGAATAATGAGGGAATGCTTAATAATACTTTTGTGGGCTAACTTTAAGATAGCCTTTCATACACACAACACAATTATACATGTAAGCCCACATGTTCTTTTTCCTAGCAATCACTCCACAAGTACTCCTTCTAGAATGTGTATAACCTTATGAGCTCAAAATGCTTGCTATTATATACCCAAAGGTATCCCTAAACAATCTTGTCCATCAATCGTGCCGAAATATTGTGGCGGATCTAGAAACTCAGTTGACTGAGCCACATCTAGTGGTGTCAAACACTTTCAAAACCGAATAACCCACCCAATGAAAGTAGGGACGTTCCAATTTTTTTGGAGGCCCTGCTACATCTAAAACTTTTGATTACATTGTATAAATGAGATAACAAAGAATATATGTTAAGAACAAAAATGGGATAAACCAAAACGATTAAAAATCTGAAACTAAACCTAAACCATTAATGATTTGACCCTAAAACCAAACAATTAATGGGTTGAGCCTAAATAATTTCGGCTATAGTTTTACACAGGTCGATAAAAAGAACCTAAACACATGTAAATTCGGGCCCCAAAATTTCGGGGGCCTGTATACTAAGGGACAACCTTGAATGAAAGGAGGCTTGGGTTAACCTGTTTTGGGTCATTCGATTTTCGGGTTAAAGCAACTTGTTTAGCTACATAAAGATACTTTATTCGGTTCGTCTCTTTCAACTATTTTGATTGCGAATGAATTGAACAAAAACATAAATAATGGATTAATGACATTGAAGTAATAAATAACAAATTAATGGCATAAATTATAAAAGCAAATTGGAAACTTAAAAAGGAAATCAAGAAATCCTAATTCATATTAACAGATAATCTACGTCAAAAAGGCAATGAAGATCCAAAACACACCTCAATTTTCAACAAATTAAGATTAAAAACAACGGAAATCACTAAAATGAAAGCAAATTTGGACAGTAGCAAAATCAAGAATTAGGAAGCAAAAACATGTTATTGTAATGGGGAAATGATTGATCGAAGGAAAATTGACAATTAGAAGATTAAATRGAATGGGAACCCACAAACCCTGATGTATCGAATTGATGAGCGAATCATGTCAAATTGGTTACAGAAATAGTAGAAACCAGAAAATCGTATTAAGCGAAGATGAAAATACAACTCACTTGTTCT